ATACTCTCATGTATATTGCCAACAAAGTTGTTGCGTTTTTTCTTTTTGTGTGCTAACAGTTTTGGCAGTGTTTCCGTATTGTAGCATTTCTGCAAACAATTTCTGTTGCCAAGGTCTGAGCCGAAATTGTCAAAAACAGAAATTGTTTGCTGGGTATAGAATATTATATATAATATATATAATATTTTCTTTTTTACTCTTTTTCCTGTCACGTGTTGTTTTTCCATTGTTTTCTCTTTCTTTTATTTTTCGAGTTTGATTTTCCATGCGTTATTTCTGACGTTTCTCATATATGTGTTATATGGTTTGTAAGACGGTTTATACCAGCTGTCATCGCGGTGACAGGTTGTGTTCACTGACACAACACGTTAAAATAAAAATAATAACAGCGTGCGCGCTTGTGTTGTGCTAGTATTTTATCAAATTAATTGCTTGAATTTTTTCGAGTGAAATTCGGAAAGCGCGTATCAATCGATCGCGTATCGAATGGAAGCGCGTGCGATCGAGATTATCGGTCGATTATCGTCGTTTCGTGCGCGCGTTCGATACAACCGGCTGAAGTTGGTTGCGCGCGATTCGCAACGCGCCGCGCATCAGCGTACAACTTCACGCTAGCTAACAACTTACCGACACGCATAACGTCGAACTGTACGATAGCACATGGTGCAACGGTGGTAAAATGGCTTCGCCTATTCCCTGTGTAGCTGGTAAGCATTTTCACGAACATTTCCCGGAGTGGTGCTTGTCGAAAAAATGTCGATTCCTCCCCGGTTGACGCGTCGCCGGGAAAATTCGTTCCCGAACGAACACGATCCGCGCGTGAACGACGTGACGTTCCGGCACATTCGTCAATAATTTCGCGTGACGAACGTGCCGAACATGTGTTTCCCCGTAGCATCCGAGCGTAATTCAAGCGTGTTTCGCGATAACGACGACATTCGGTCCGACAACGTTAGCATCGTAACATTTCAAAAATTACGAACGCACGATGCGGCACAAATTACGCTGATACACTTTGTTCTAACCTTCAATTGCTGACGTGTTACTTTTCGAATGCTGACGTGAGTTATTGGCAATAAAATTGAAAAAAAAAATAAAATGAAACATTAAGATACCTTGTCTTGATGTACACGCGCCGTTCGAGAGTTTCACAATTGAGACTTGTAAGAGACAATTTCGTCGTGAATTTGCTTCGTGGTTGATGATAAATCCGTACGACAGTTGTATAATGTTATTTGTATTGTTGGGTAAAAAAAAGAAGAAAAAAAATTTTATTTTTTAACACAGTGAGAGGGTCTACTGGTATAAACTTAGCGCAAGGTCCACCGTCCTATGAACCAGTCAAAACATTCCCCAGAGATGACAGCAAAACATGTAAGGCCATGCTTTTTAGTCCGGATGGCCGATATTTTGCATGGATTAACGGAGCTATTATTAAAATTATATTATGTGAGAACTGGAAGTTAGTTGCTGAAATTGCACGACCTAAAGTCTGTGCTATTCAATTCTCCACTCTTAGTACATACCTCGCAACATGGGAACCATCCTTTGGTAATTAATTTTATACTTTACAGATTACAGAGATTCTCTGTGAATATATCGTATTTTCAACAAATATATTATTTATAATGTATCAATTTTTCAGTAACACAAACAAGTCCTCAAGGAACAGAAAATCTTCACATATGGAAGTCTGAAAATGGTGAGCTAGTCCACAGTTTTGTGCAGAAAAAACAAGTCAATTGGTAATGTATCACATGCTGTGTATTTGTGACTCTTTTCTGGAGTAAAAGAGTCAAATTAACAACTAGACTAAGAACAAACAATAACTTTGGAAATCGATGTTATATATAATTGAGATATATTTCTATATTAAATATTTTTTTTTTTTTTTGTTACTATTGAGATGTGTGGAAATGCTTAATGTATCTATTTGATGGACAGGGAGCCACAGTGGTCGAGTGATGAGAAACTCTGTGGATTGTTGAATGGTACAAATGTTCTTTTATATGAAAATAACAATTTTGATAAATATGTATACAAAATAAGTGGAGCCAAAGTTGCCAAATTTAGTATAGCACCTGGTAATGCTCCGTATCATATTCTTTGTTACATGCCAGGTAATTATTTCTATGATTACATGATACGTAAAAATGCAAAAATTATATTATTGAAAAATAATGAGAAATTTAAGACGATATATATGTTGTTTTTCATTAAAACTCTTTAATATACAATGTAGGAAAACCTGGCCAGCCTTCCTTGGGAAGGTTATTTAAATATCCAAAATTTGAGATCGGAGACGCGCTTGCAAGCAAAAGTTTCTTCCAGGTAGATTATTAAAACTGTCCTGGATACAATTGCTTCGAACATCATATTTGTTTACTATAATATTTTTATATGATTTTTACAGGCGGATAGAATTGATATTTATTGGAATCGACGCGGAACAAACGCGTTGTTGATGACGAGTATTGAAGTTGATAAGAGTGGCGCGTCATATTATGGAAAACAAACGTTGCATTATATCAGCACAAAAGGAGATACGGCTATAGTTACGCTTAGTAAAGAAGGTCCCATACACGCGGTAGAATGGTCTCCCGCGAACAATGAATTTTGTGTCGTGTATGGGTTTATGCCGGCCAAAGCGACGTTGTTCAATCTTAAGTGCGAAGCAGTATTCGAATTTGGCACGTTACACAGAAACTGTGTATATTACAATCCACATGGAAATAATATCCTTTTTTTTATTACTTTATTGCTCGCCGATATTTTATATAAGTGTTTGTATTTTGTAAGTGTGTTGACAGTAAGTTGTAAACAAACTTATAATCAACACACACTTATAAAATATTTACGTCAAATTACGCAAACAATGAATAAGCGAATACGAAGTTACGCAATTGTATGTAATTTCCTTGACTACTGTGCACTATTGCTTTTGGCTGGATTCGGCAATCTTAGAGGCGGTATCGAACTGTGGGACGTTGCAAATAGGAAACTTATTGCAAAAACTGACGCGCCGGATACCACGATGCTCCAGTGGTCGCCGGACGGTGAACACTTTGTGACGGCGACCACAGCGCCTAGATTACGAATGGGCAACGGGTAAATTATAATCGTATTTCTAAAACAAATTTAGATAATATAAGGGTTCAATTCTTAAATTTTTTAATTTTAGGTTTAAGATTTGGCATTACACCGGCTCGCTAGTGTACCAACGACCGTGGAACAATCAAGAAGAACTTTGGGAAGTGATTTGGCAGAGTTTCCCTCCCAATACTTTTCCACAGAAACCAATTAGTTACAAAGCAGTCGAGGGTATCGTCACGAATTCTAGTCAATCACAAGGTAACTGTTATTTTTATGAATAATTTAAAAATAAGAACATTCCTGAGAATAATTTTCGGAATCAATATTGCTATTGATCGTATCTTTACAGCACCGAAAGAAGCGTACAGACCACCATCTGCCAGAGGACAAAATATCACGTTCAAATTGCACGACGATATAGAACCACCTTCTAAACCAGGCGCTGAACGTAAGCACACAAACATACAAAAAAAAAGTATCTCGTTACCGATATCTGAAATTTATCTTGCAGCAAATCCATCGAAAGCCGCTCTGAAGATGAAGAAAAATCGAGAAGCCAAAAAAGCTAAGAAGGAATTAGAATTCAGCGGTTCGGCTATTAATGGACAAGTTACGAGTACGAGTAGCACATCGACGAGCGTAAAGATGGAATTAACGGACGATCCTGAAAAGAACAAAAAAATTAAGAAAGTCAAGAGTGTAAGTAGTTTACTGATGACTTCTTTTTCTTTCTATAACGAGAGTTAATGTCGTTTTTCTTTTTTTTGTGCCGCAGAAATTAGAACAAATTTCGAAATTGAAAGAACAATTGAAAGCAGGAAAGCAGTTAGAAATAAATCAATTAGACAAGATCAAGAAGGAAGACGAACTGCTAAAAGAACTCGAAGAGCTTACGTTATGATAGGCCATTTTAGACTAAGCGGAATAAAATCGAGGAACAAGGAAAAACTCCATCTTCTATACTCTCTCAAAATAAAAAAACAAAAACAAGGTTGTAGGAAATCAATTAAATATGAACACGTAAATCAAAATGGTGCATCTTGATAAGAAATTCAAAGAAAAAAACAAACAAACGAGATTTACGTGGATATCGTACACCGAATTTTAGATACAATCGAATATCGCAAGATGATTGCAAGTACGATACTGAGTCCAAGGATTGTGTTCTCACCAGTGAATTCTGTAATATACTGGCTAACCAATAATCATAACTGTTGTGTAAGTCTTTGGAATCGATTCCAATTCAAAGTGATTTTGCTTTTTTTTGCTGATCGTTATACCATCATCGTGACGATGACAAAGAAGAGATGGCGAAATTTCGAAATTTAATCAATTCCGAAAACTTACGTAATAGCAATTCTCCGAAATGTGTGTGTGCTCGCTTCAACACGCCGACTCTGATATAAGAATAGTATTTTTTTTGCTCACTCTCCGGCCGTTTTATCGTATCAGCTTACATTGGAGTGAGCAGTTCCTGGTATAGTGGAGAGTTCACTGGTTCTCACGCACAAATAAGAATATAAATTAATTAGGCTTAATCGATATAGAGAAAACTACTAATAGTACATACTATACTGTGCTGACTACGTTTATTATGTACTTGATCTTGCAAAAAAATTGACAATGATAGAAATATAGCTGCAGTACATATATATATATATAATATATACACACACATACACAAACACACACACAATATTAATCTTAACCAAAAATTTCAAACCATTGTGTGCGATGTAACAATTATTTTCAGGATGAGAATGAAAAATGCATTTGTTGACTAACTAAAAAGTGCTAGATACTGCTTGGTTATAAAACTCACCGGATCGTTTTTTTTCTCCTAATAGGAGTTTTGTAAAAAAAAAAAAAAAAAAAATGACTTGTATATTTTCTCTGAAGCTTGTTTTCAGTATAAATATTTGTTTCTATTGTTTTCCGAAACTATTTCACAAACAAATAACAGGAAAAACGCAAAGTCCTATTATCTATGGCAGTTATAGATTTTTGCATTTAAACGTCAGCTATACACTATTATCAAATATTAAGACTAATGTATCAAGCTTTTCCTTGCAGAGTAAAAACATTGTGAGGCTTAAATAAATGGATAAGTGGATTAATAATTTTTGACAAGTTTAGTAAACATCAAATAATAATTGTTGAATTGACATTTTATACTTAAATTCTTTTTCTAATTATTATTTTGAGCATATTTCAGTGTTTTTGTAAGCCTCATTTGTGTTATTTTTTCTTTGTTTTTAAACAATTCAAACGAGAATGTTTTTATTATATTGCAATATGTAAAAGTTGACATAAAAGGTTTCTTTCAAATTTATAAAAAAAAAACTAGAAATAAATGTACCTATTTAGTATACTTAAAACACACATATATATATACATATATATATATAACAAGAGTATTAGAGCATTTTTTTCAAACTGACAAAGCTTGTTTGGCTGAATTGAATTGAAAAATAAGAACACGAAATATATGGAAAACACCGCGTGCTTGTAACAGTGCGAAACAAAAAACACTAAAAATTATATCAAAAGTATGCATGTGTATTCACCGAGATGTATTACGCATTAACAAAACGAGGATAGTAAAACTACAAAACAGATGTTATGTACAGTGAGATAAAAAATTTATAGAAATAAATTATTAAAAAAAAAAAAAAAAAAAAAACACCAAGTTAATTATTTCTTTGTTTGAAAGTGTGAGATGTGATACACGCAATTTTGTTTGAAAGTGAGGTAAAATACAAAAGTTTGATTTTTTTATCCTGAGGTACGTTCCAAAATCCTATCTTGATAACTAAAAGCTATAGTACACGTGACGTAAAATATAGCATTTTGGTAATCAAAGTAGGACTTCAGAACGTACCCCTGCATTGTCGCCTTGGGTCAGGCACAACATATATACACACACACACACACACACACACATGACTTGTCGCTCTCTTACCACAATCACACGTAAGATATATAGATGTATGTGTATGTGAATATAATTTACTTACGTTTGTCTTCTGTTGATCTTCTGAATCTTGATCGCTCCCAACAATTTCGCGACTTTGTTACGTGAATCTTTGTGAGTGAATCTTGCCCGAGGCACTATCATGTATCCTCTGATAAGCATCTTAATAAATCACGAGATTTATAATTGTCATTATCGAGAGTATATCGTGAGGAATTTTTAACATATCTCTCATTACGCGTTGACGAGCAAGCAGTCCTTTCGGCAGCGCCTATGTATACAAAATCATTAAAATAATAAAAGATGTATCAGCGATGTGTGCGCTTGTGTTACACAAAAGAAATCTGCAAAACTTAACTGCGTAACAATAGAATTTTACAAAATTTACTTTCTTTTCTTGAGATTGGTATTTTCACACACTGTGCGCGGCGAATCGTAGCTGCCAGCCAATCGGCTGCGTCGCTCGTGCTGCGCGTGCACGTCGTCCTGGGTGGCACCGCAGCGCCGCGACAGTCGTGTTTACAGATTTGCCAGTTGAGTTCCGTAACGTCACGTCAAAAAAGTGCACACACGAATTTCTACAACGTTTACTATGTAAAGGTGCGTTTTCCGAGCTACGTGGATGCGTCGCGGCCGATTGCACGCGGCCCGGGATCGCCGTCGGCTTCGTCCAACATAACGAGCCACGTCCGCGCTGGCCGGTCGCGTCGAAATATCGCCGCTTTTGTTAATACATGGCAGTGCCAATCGTTAGAATAGTCGCCATTTTGTCCGAAGAGGTGGCCCGGTAGCGGACGAACGGGGCGAAAATAGGCGCTGCCTGGGCCGCGAAAATCTCCGGAGTCGCGTAGGTACCGAACCGCGCCGTCGACCGTTGCCGTGCGGACGACTCGCGGGAACCGGGCCCGTGTTGACGGACGGTTCGTCCTTACGGGTCGGCGGTCTCTCCGTGTTCTCAGGAGTGCTCTCTCCCGTGCCCAGGCGTGCTCGCGCTCGGTTTCCCCTCGACACGACGACACTTGTACGCCCGTTGTCGCGTCCTCTCCTCGTCGACGCGGCGATCGGTCGCGACTTCCCGGTTAGGTCGCGTTCCTCTAGGTAAGCGCCGTCGTCGCCGACCGGCGTGCGACCGCTCCCATCGCCGTCGACGATATGTCCGTGCGGACGATTTTGCGATCGCGCAATACGACAACGCCGCGACAACAACCATCTCCGCGACAACGGCGTTTTTGTATCCGCGTCTGATCTGTATCCGCGCGTACAATCATCCGCCGCCCGACGCCGTTTCGTTTAATACGCGGCCGCTCTGTGCCGATGCACGAAGCCCTAGCGTGATCGCGCCGCTGTCATGCGATTTCCTCGTACATATTCCGGGGGAATGCGTTTGTTTTCTGAGAGCCGTCGTGTGAAAAAAATATCGAGGGATTTGTAGCCGTCACGCGAGCTCGGCGTTTTTTTTTTTTTTTTTTTCCCAAAAATGAGAATAATCGTTGACCGATTATAGCCCAATCACGTTTCATTCTTCGCAGCTTACTGTCATTTGTCAACTTCGAAAAAGAAATATGCTTATGTAACTGTGCCGTTACTACCTGCGGCAAATTCACAATTCTTGTGCGTTCCTCTCGTGCGAACTGCAAATTGAATTTGTTGACGATCGCATTTGTTTTTATAATATAGCTGTATATTGCGTTTTTTCTCCGCTACTAGTGCTTATTTTAAATGTTGAAAACGTTCTTTGCTTTGTTTCAGATAATGTAGGTATAGTTTATTAAAAAAAAAAAAAAAAAAAAAAAAAAAAAAACAAGGCCTTTAGGATATATAATTATATTTAATGTCAATATATAAGTGTGCGCTGAATGCTTGTTATTGGTGGTGTAATCATTGGACCAAGCGGCATTGAGACAATTAAGGCGTAGCAAAGAACATATAAAATGACAATTGCCACTAGGGGCCAGGGTGTTGGCATAGACCCCCCTGACAGCCAGCAAAACACACAAGTACATGAACTTTTGAAGCTACTTTGGTAAAACCAAAATTCGCGAACTTTTTTTTGCCATTGTAACAAAAAATCTGTCTTTTTGCAGATGCACAGTCCACCAGGTCCTCAACAATTAGCTGACACAATGTCGGGACTCCAACTCACTGAGAACGTGGTACAAACTGAATGCAACAATGACACTATCACTATAGTGGAAGATAGCAATCAGCTACACGGAGAGCCTGATTTTCCTATTGCAAAACTCAATATGCTTCATGAGAAGATATCTAGTCCACGATGGGTTGTTCCAGTTTTGCCTGAACAAGAATTAGAGTGCCTGTTACAAGCCAGTATCGAACTTTGTAAAAAAGGTGAAAATGTGATTCTGAGCATTGAGATTTAGTGTCAAAGAACTTGAGTTTATTTTAGTGAAAAACATCAATTCGCGTTCTTTGCATTGCAGGAATTGATGTACAAAGCGAAGCATGTCAACGTTTTTTTCGAGAAGGTCTTACAATCTCATTTACCAAGATATTAACGGACGATGCGGTTAACAGTTGGAAGTTGAACATTCACAATTGTATCAACACCAATTGTCAACGCCTGGTAGAACTATGCGTTCTGAAACTAGACGAGGATTGGTTTCCCCTGCTTGATTTGCTGGCCATGGTTTTTAATCCTAATAATAAGTAAGTAAAAACACTGTGCGCGGTATTCTCTCGTTTTTGTTAATTTGAAATTGTGAAATGATATGACATTGTTTCACATCGCCAAATTTTTTTTCAGATTTCACACTTTTAACGCAGTAAGAGTTTCGGAAACGGTTCCTCCTGGTAGCGATATTCCTGATGAGGAACTTTATGCTCGTCCACCGTCTGATTCGCGGAGTCCTCGTGGCTGGCTAGTAGATCTCATAAACAGGTATTTTTTTGTCATTGGTGTTTTTACACGATTGTTTTATCACGAGACGGACTGACGTAAGAATTTTTCTTGCAGATTTGGAAGTTTGAACGGATTCGAAATTTTGCTCTCTAGATTTCAAAGTGGACGGAATTTATCTGTGCCAGTTATTTATGCTTTAATAAGACCTTTCGGTTTGTGTTACGAGCTGTTAACTGTCCACACTATAGTTAAATATCTCATGCCTATTGTGGTGAGTATTTTTTTTCTCAATACTTAATCTTTAGACTAGTTTTTGTTTGTTACTCAACACACGAGAGACACGTATCGTTTGTGTACAGGAAATCGTACCTGTTATTTTAAACAACTTAACCGATGATGAATTAAAAAAAGAGGCAAAAAACGAATCAAAAAACGATGCAATATCAGCCATAATCAAAGCTGCTAAGTGTCTGGTGTCACGCGTTCCTCATCAGGAAGAGATGATAAAGAATTTGGAAATCTTGAGACTGAAAATGATATTGAGACTCTTACAAATTTCGTCATTTAATGGAAAGATGAACGCTTTAAATGAAGTTAATAAAGTAATATCTAGTGTTAGTTATCACCAACATCGTAACGCAATAGTGGAGGACGAAGAGTGGCTTACAGCAGAACGTATGGCGGTAAGTTTTATCGCGATATCGAATAATGTTATGTGGAAATATTTTTTTTAATTCAACAATTTTCTTCAAATTGGACAGTCTTATTTCTTTTTTCTCAAAGAAGTATTTAATTTGTATAGAAATGGATTAAGGAAAACGGAGTGCTGGAGATCGTGCTAAGAGATTCGTTGCATCAGCCACAATATGTGGAGAAACTGGAAAAGATTTTGCGATTTATAATAAAAGAACGTGCACTTACATTAGAAGATTTAGATGCTGTATGGGCAGCGCAAGCGGGTAAACACGAAGCGATCGTGAAGAACGTTCACGATCTATTAGCCAAATTAGCCTGGGATTTTAGTCCGGAACAGCTTGATCATCTGTTTGAATGTTTTCAGGTATCTATCGCGACACCCTGATAATTTTTTTTCGTGTACTCATCAAACCGAATATTTGCATACATTGATCGAATTGTGTTTTCAGACAAGTTGGAGAACTGCCAATAAAAAACAACGGGAAAAATTATTAGAGCTGATCAGGAGACTCGCGGAAGACGACAAGGATGGCGTTATGGCGCACAAGGTCAGATGAATAATATTGTAAATTTGCGCATAAATATTTATAGTTTTGAAAATGTCCGTCAGATATTTATTATTTACTACGTTATAGGTGTTGACGCTCTTTTGGACTTTGGCTCACTCTGATGAGGTACCAACGGAAATTATGGATCAGGCGCTGAACGCTCACGTGAAAATTCTCGATTATTCATGTTCACAAGAGAGAGACGCGCAAAAGACAATCTGGTTGGACAAGTGTGTCGAAGAACTTAAGAACGGCGACAAGTGGGCTTTGCCTGCGTTGAAGCAGATCCGTGAAATATGTTGTCTTTACGAGCCGAATCCCAACTTGGGCCATGGTCAGCGAAGTCATCATTTGCATTATAGGTTTGTCAACTATACGTTTATCAACTATACGTTGATATATTCATTCATATATATGTTTTTTTTTATTAACGCAATATTTGCTTGATAACAGGCAAGAAGTAATAGAGCGTCTACAAAGTGAACATTCGGTAGTAATACTTGTAACAAATAATTTAACTAATTACATGGATAAAGTGCGACAACTGGTGAAAGAAAATCCTGAAATCGACGCTAATACTTACATGCCCGATGGTCGATATAACCATATTATGCAGGTGCAAGAAAGACTGAATTTCTTGCGTTTCTTGCTCAAGGTACGATTTTTTCTATATATTGAATCTCGAAATATAATTTATCTCTGACGGGAGATAACCGGATATATAATAATAACAATTTTTCGCAGGATGGCCAATTATGGTTATGCGCCGATCAGGCACAGCAAATTTGGCAATCCTTAGCCGAGCAAGGTGTATTTGTATCGGATCGCGAGGCCTGCTTCAAATGGTTCTCTAAGCTCATGGGAGACGAGCCTGATCTCGATCCAGCAATAAACAAGGGGTTTTTTCAAAACAATATACTCCAGTTAGACCCGACGCTGCTCACGGAAAGCGGTATTAAGTGTTACGAGAGATTTTTTAAAGCTGTTAATTCTAAGGAAGGAAAATTGAAACTGAAGCGCCGAACGTTTCTCATGGACGACGTGGATCTAATTGGGACTGATTACTTGTGGAGAGTACGTAAAGTTTTATTTTTTAGTTTTATATTTTATTTATTTTTGTATTTTTCTTTTTTTTTGTGATCGCAATCGGCAATTTTCTATTTGTTCGCAGGTAGTAACAAACAGCCCGGAAGAGATCGCAAACCGAGGCATAGAACTGTTGAAGGAAGTGAATACTAATCTGGGACCGCGTTTGCAGTCGTCCGTTTTGGCGTTTCACGAAACTTACATAGCGGAATGTATGGACAGATTGAAGGCTCATTACGATACGGTGACTGTTCTGAGCAGAGTCTATTTAGACGGGAAAGAGGAGCGCGAGGAACAAATGACTAATAAGATTAAAATGGAAGCCATAAAGATGTGTCGTGTTATGAAAGTTTTGCAGGAGTACATAAACGAATGTGACACTGCTTTCCCAGGAGAAAGAAAGATATTGCCGCTACACAGGTAAACAATTGCAGTTTTACGATAGAAAAAAAATCCAGAAAGCGAAAATATCTGCAATGTTTTATTCTGATCGCAGAGCGGCGCGTGGCAAGCATCTGTCGCTTGTTATTCGTTTCGCTAGTCCCGGCCGAAACGTCGACGACATAGATATCTTCACGCATAGCAATGACACTTTAGCTTCGTTGAGACGTCAGATATTGCGCAGGATCAAAGCGAGCGGGACGAACGTGAAACTCGATCTGTTTATTAACGGCGAGTCGCTAGAACAGTCCGATGATCGAAAACTTCTTTCCCAGATACCGCTGAGAGACAAAATGGTGAGTGTTAACAAGAGGCTAAGATAGTTATTTATAATTGGAAATTATTTGTACGCGTGGAAAAATACATAACATCTATATATTTTGCTCTTCAGTTGTTATCTGCAAAACTGAGTCAAGTTAATAGCAATATGCCAAGCTCACCGGACAGTAGCTCCGATAGCTCTACTAGCTCACCACATCATCCATACGACGGGCCGAATGTAGAGGCTGAGAATAGTTTGCCTGGTGTGGTAAGTGATGCGCGCGCGATGCAAGTTTTATGCGAGTTTATTAACTCAATTTTCATTGTTACGTAAATTTAATTGTTTTATAACTCTGAATTACGTTGCAGGTGATGTCGCAAAGACCGCAATATGCGACGTTCTTCTTTCAATTGGCCGATCTTGGCTGTACCCTTCAGCATTCGCAGTTGCGCGACGGCGCGCGAAATCTCTTACAGTTGGTGCCGCCGGATACCTTCACTGTAACAAGATTACAGTGGCTGTTCGGCCATTACAAAGACGATGAAGCTTTACAGAACCCCTCTCAATATCATTGTAACGAGCAGAATACGACAGTAGATTCTCTATTTTTTACTGCAAGTCCTAGCCAAGTTTTATACAATTTAGAGGTGTGTGTTAAACGAGGTTCGAATTTTGTTTTCTCTCTATATACTTTTTATCAAAGTTAACAAGTTTATCTCTGTCTTTTTTAGGTGTTGTATACTTTGTTAATGCCGGCTCTCGACCCTATGTCCGAAAGGGCGTTCGAATTTCAGTATAATTTCATAAAAAGCGGCGAAGCGGGCGTCATCCTCGACATGTTGACGAAAAACAAATTTTTACCAAACGCAGACGAGACCACCAAGCGATCGGCGTATCTGACGGTGCTACGATTGTGCAAGCTTCTTCTGACGGTGATGGGTAACATGATGGCGTGCGTGATGGACGAGGTGCAGCAAACCAGTACTTCGGAGAATCACGATCATCACTGCAACAACCGCGGCCGTGTGGCGGTGTTGAAGCAAGCGCTGCAGAGCGTTCCCAATCAGAGCACCGAGTACATGCTGAGAAACGTCGCGGCCAAACTGGCGCAACATCTGGCGCACCGTATCTGCGGTACGGAGGCCGATCGATGCCGGCAGCTATTTATGCAAGCTCTTTCGTGGGAATTACCGGATGTGGCCACTGTACGTGCCATAATTAGATTAGCGTGGGCCGCATCCACGGGTAATCTAAACAACATCAACGCGACGAACGAGCTCTTACATTCGATGCACGAGACCAATCAGAAAGAGCAGCGGAATCCCGACAACAACGACGTTCTCGTATGCAAGGAAGCGCTCGAAGTACTGACGATCGCTCTTGTGTTGAACCCGTCGGCGCTCGAAACGCTGTCGAAGGACAAGATCTGGCACACCTTCCTGATAGACCTTGTACTGCTCAGTACATCGAGAGCGATCAGAATCGCCGCCGGCGAACAATTTTTTCTCATTTCGACTTGGTGCAGCGGCGGCCATCAAACGTTACTGGTCACCATAACTCTTCTCTTCACAGTATTGAACACCACCGTAACGGAGAACGCGAAGCAAAGCCACGAGTACTTTCAGCTTTTGTGCAGGCTCTTGAACTTCGCGCACATGTCGGGTTGTCCTCTCACGACCGCGGAGACGTTGTTGAACGTCGAGATAGCGTGGTTGAAGAAAGTACGGGACAACGTGAAGGAAACCGGAGAGAGTCAGGTGGACGAGGCTCTCCTCGAGGGTCATCTCGGTCTGACGAAGGAACTGTTGGCGTTCTTACCGCCGAACCAGAAGTACGAGATTGGATCCGACGAGAAGCACGGAGTTAACTTGATCAAGGAGCTGGTCGAGGACTTCGTCTTTCCCGCGTCCCGCCTCATGCTGCAGCTTCGCAACACCGGCGAGCTAAGCGCCTCCCAGGCGTGTCCGGTGTGCACCACTCCGCAATCGACTAGCGCTGCGTTCGACCTGCTCGTAGGTCTATGCGTAGGCTGTGTACCCAACATGAAACTTCTAGTCACAATGCTCACCGACATGTTTTACTCTGAAAAAGACGAACCGTTGGTGGAGTGGGATTATCTGCCGCCTGTGGGGCTGAGACCGCTCAAGGGTTTTGTGGGTCTGAAGAATGCAGGCGCGACCTGTTACATGAATTCAGTATTACAACAGTTGTATATGGTGGAGAGTATTAGAGTTGGACTTCTGGCGGCGGAGGGTGCGGCTACTGATTTGAATGAAGATTTCTCGGGCGAGGAGAGAATCGAGGGCGAGCAGACCATTGAGGCGAACGACAACGACACGAATGAGGAAAAATGCGGCGCCGACGAGTCGAGAAAGGAATACAATATTGGAATCTTGAAACAAGTGCAAGCAATATTCGGTCACCTCGCTTACAGCAAGTTGCAATATTATATACCAAGAGGATTGTGGAAGCACTTCAAGTAAGATTTATAGATATAATTTTGTTTCTGACTTTTCAATAAAAAATAAATTACTTTTTTTTTTTTATTATTATTATTTGAGTCGTGTAGAGTTTGAACAATTAATGAGAAAAATGTCACTCTTGTGTACAGGCTTCAGGGAGAACCTGTAAATCTTAGAGAGCAGCAAGACGCAGTAGAATTCTTTATGAGTTTAGTAGAGAGCTTAGACGAGGCGTTAAAAGCCTTGGGACATGAGCAGATAATGGGCAAAATTCTCGGTGGCTCGTACAGCGACCAGAAAATCTGCAAAGGTTGCCCTCATAGGTACCTTTTTAGTTTTTACATTTTTCTGTTTTCGGTAGACTGTAATACTGCATTACATTGTCTTCAGATATTCCAAAGAAGAACCGTTCAGCGTGATAAGCGTGGACATACGGAATCACAGTAATCTGCTGGATTCACTTGAACAATATGTAAAGGGAGAACTGCTGGAAGGTGCAGATGCCTATCATTGTGATAAGTGCAACAAAAAAGTATGCTTGCGACGAACACTTGTACATGTATAAAAGATTCTTTAAAATCTTGAAACATCTTTTTTTTTTTTTTACAAACATAATGAAAATAGAAACAAAAGTAACTTTGCAAAGAGTAAACAAATCTTTTATACATTTCGTGAATTGGTTAAAAAATTTGGGTCTTATTCTGTACGTGTTGCATTTTGGATTTATTTGTTCAGGTCGTGACAGTAAAGAGATTATGCGTGAAGAAGCTGCCACCGATTTTAGCAATTCAGTTAAAAAGATTCGAATACGATTTTGAACGTGTGTGCGCGATAAAATTCAACGATTACTTCGAGTTTCCGCGAGACCTGGACATGGAGCCTTATACCGTATCCGGTTTGGCTAAACTGGAAGGGGAGGTTATAGATTGTGATTATGAGGAATCTATAAAAGGAACATGCACAAAATATCAATTGACCGGTATTGTGGTTCACAGCGGTCAAGCCAGTGGTGGCCATTATTACTCTTACATTTTACACAGGTATTTTGATCGATACGAAATGTGCAGATGCGTAACTTTTCTGACGACCGAAACTAAGTTTTATCGATAATCTATAAACAGGTTAAACGACGGTACGGCAAAATGGTACAAGTTCGACGACGGTGACGTAACCGAGTGTAAAATGGAAGAAGAAGAAGAAATGAAATCTCAGTGTTTCGGCGGCGATTATTTAGGAGAGGTGTTCGATCATATGCTCAAGCGGATGAGTTACCGCAAACAGAAGCGATGGTGGAATGCGTACATGTTGTTTTATACAAGATTAGATGTAGAAGAAAATTCTCTAATGAAGAGTGTAAATGAATTGTCGTTGTGTAAGTGTTATCTTCGAGATCTTTGAAACTTTTCTCGAAATCTCTCGGCTAAAACGTGTATCGCGCCTCAACTTGTGATCGTACTTTTTTTTTTTGGTTTTTTCCAGATACGAAACTAGGAGTAATGAAAATGCCGCCGGCGATAGAATACAGCGTGCGGAAGCAGAATATAAAATTTATGCACAATCGTAATCAATTTAGTGCAGAATATTTTCAGTTTATCAAAAAACTGGTGTCTTGCAATCCGCACAATATTAATAGACAAAATCTAAATGAAAAACTTGTGAGTCTATGTTGTTTATTTGCGTTATAAAGAATATTTTATTCTTTATAACAGGAGAGTTTTGTTTATAATATTCGCGTGATATTTACATTTTTCCAGAGCCCCGAAGCGGAAGAACTTGCGATGCTATCGGTTCAGTTAGCGTCGAGATTTCTCTTTTACACAGGTTTTCATACCAAAAAGACGTTACGTGGCACGGCAACAGACTGGTATGATATTGTGTGTCATCATTTGCGTAGCAGTAAAGCAGTGCGTTCTTGGTTTGCTAATGAAGTGTTGTTTAATCATCCACACAGGTACTGAATCAACCGTTTGTGATGTTTTTATGTAAAAATATACATTCAGAGTCTTACATTGATCCATTGTTTTTCGCAGATTTTGTGAGTATCTTCTGAGCTGTCCAAGTACAGAAGTACGCACTGCTTTTCTAAAGATTCTGGTGTTCCTTGCACATGTTTCTTTGCAAGATGGTCCGTGTGCTCCGCCCAGTCTAAATGCGCCGAGTGAGTATTGACGTACTGAAATGTATATACATGTACATGTATATATATGTATATATATATAACTGTATGTGAGACAAGCATCTATTTCGCGACTGGTGAAATATTTTTAGCTATACTTTTGGATCCAGTGGCAACGCTCAGTGATCATTTGTTACACGCGGTGCTGTCGCTACTACATCGCGAAATTTCGGATCATGGACGTCATCTTCCTCACTACTTTTCTCTCTTTCATGCGTACGCCTCGCTTGGTCTTGCCGAGAAGGCGCAGTTGCTTAAGGTAAGATACGAATACGCGTATATTTTATACGCATATTTATCACATAATTTGTATTATTGCATTTTTTTCTTTTCTTCTTTGAAGATATAGTGTATTTTTATTAAATGATCATTACATAATTGTTATTATAGTTTTTTATCTCTTGTCGTTGAAAATATAAAAAGCATATTCAATATTAATCGTTTTTTTTTTTGTCTTACAGTTGAACGTTCCGGTTACCTTCATGTTGGTCGCCATCGACGAGGGCCCTGGCCCTACTATCAAATATCAATATCCCGAATTGACGAAACTACATCAGGTGGTTAGCATGTTGATACGATGTTGCGACGTTTCGTCAAAGGCTCACTCGAGTCAGCAGCCTCGCACGGATCCCTTGCCAAATCCGTATGGAGATCCCGCTTGTCAGCCAGACTATCTTATGCCCATTCAACCACAAGCAGCTGAGATATTATTTATTCGAACTAGGTGAGAATTAGTTGTGTCGAAATATTCATCAACAAATTGATGTGAAAGATAAAAAAAAGTTTGTTTTTCGTGCGATTTTACACATTGTTCGTTCTCTCTGGGACAGTTACATAAAAAAACTAATTGAGGACGCTAACGTGACGGAAGACACGGTGAAGTTGTTGCAATACTGTTGCTGGGAGAATCCGCATTTGTCGCGAACGGTGCTTAGTGAACTTTTATGGCAAATTGGTTTCGCTTACACCCACGAATTGAGACATCACACAGATCTGCTGCTTGCGATATTACTGATGGAAGATTCTTGGCAGACGCATCGCGTGCACAATGCGCTTAAGGGTATGTTTGAACGGAACATTCTTTCGCAGTTTTCATATTGCGCCGCATTTGCACGAGTTCGTGTCTTGCAGGTGTTCCGGACGAGCGAGAAGGTTTATTCGAAACGATACAAAGAAGCAAAAATCATTATCAGAAAAGAGCGTATCAATGTATTAAGTGTATGGTGCAGCTCTTCAGTAAGTGTAGACCCGCGCATCAGCTCTTGCATCATAGTCCAGAGCTGAAGAGGAAGTGGAGCCACGCTATTGACTGGCTTCACGACGAACTCGATAAGGTACGTGTCTAAAATTAATTAATTTATACTTCGATTCGCGCGACGTATTTGACAATTGTTCGATAACTCATTTACAGAGACCGTACGCTTCTGCGGCGCCTTACGCGCACGCGTACAACAACTGGTCCCCACCGGCACAGTCTAACGATTCCGCGAACGGATACGTCCTCGAACGTAGTAATAGCGCAAGAAAGACTTTGGAGCGGGCGTGCGAATTGTGTCCGGAGGAAGAACCGGAAGTCGAAGATACCAGCGAAGATTGCGCGGAGGAGGCCGATAAATATCAACACACGTCTAAATATAAATCCAATATTCAATTCGACAAGTATCAGTCTTCATTCCGAAGTAAAAGGCGTAACAACAGAGGCTTAGGATGGGCATCTATAGAGTGAGTGATCAATATATTAATAATTCCAACAGGATTTAACAAAAATTGTTCGCAACAATTGTTGCTGATCAAGTTTTTGCCAATCAGTCATTTTCTATATAAATATTTATATACACGTTTGTTATAATATATTAAAATTATGCAATTGAGGTTTTACAAATTACAGATATGTATTAATATCTTTATTAGATGTGTGTGCGAAGCTTTATGTTTTTTTATCACTTGCAAATATAATATTTTTATCAGGCAACCTCCGATTGCTCTTCAAACACATATTTACTCGTTTGTTATCCCGCAGTTATCCCGCGGTAGACTTTACCGTGATCCAACAAATGCGAGAGGACCAGCAACCCCCTCAGCCGGGACCCTCACCCGTGCACACGCCTCACTTGTCGCTTCAAATGCATAATCCGGAGAACTGTGAGTCGTCACAAAATACCAGCCAGGATCCATAATGAACGCTGAATGGTGACGTTCTGTCAAGTTGCTGTCTCAGTGGAACAATTTCGGAATATTTAGATGTTGCTGTGCCAGCAGCTTGGTGTCGAGCGGTAGCGACACATGTACAGATATAACAAGTGAGAGGGTTTGTTTTCTTTTTAGCGATCAGTCTTTAACGAACTCATGCTAATCTCTTAGTTTCACTATGGGTAGTTACTTTGATAATATGACGCGCTATGAATGTTCGAAACTCGCAAATGAGGGAAGAAAACGAATCAGTGGAGACGATTCCGACTGAGAAAATTTGAATTAACGCATGTTAGTTGAGGCAATCAATTCTCGACGTAGTTTTTTTTTTTCTTTCTTCAATCAATGACATTTGTTTGTCATCAACTCATCCCGATTTGTATTCTTTTTCCCCTCGCCCTTCCCTCAGACGACTCTGTTTGGCTTCCAATCCTAGAAATGAGATAATTTGACAAAAAAGAAAAAGCCCCTAAAACTGCGCGGCTCTCTCTTCTCTCTAGGAGATCGATCGATGATAATAATAGTTTTTACGGCCAAGAGTTTTATTTGCCTCGATTAACGCATGTGGATTCAAAGCTTAGGACTACCGTAAGATTGTATAAATGTATAGCGAGTAGTGTTACGGAATCCCGTTCTCTGCCGAATTTAGAAGACAGAAAAAGAATATAAAAACATAATTTTCCGTATGCCTATGTAAATTTGTTACTAATAAAAAAAAAGAAGTTAAAATGAAACTCTCTAACGATCGAAAGATACAACTTGCAAAAACAGAGTGTGAGAGAGAGAGAGAGCGAGAGAGAGAGAGAGAGAGAGAGAGAGAAAGAGAGAGTGTATGTGTGTGGTGAAGTAGCATGTTTTTGTCTTGTTCAGAGAAAGCACAGTTATCGAAGCTATATGCTCTTTAACATATATAAATATATAGCTATGCTATATATACATGTATACATAGCTTTTTGCTATTTACTCTTTTAACAATAATAATAAAAAAAAAAAGGAATCTTTCTTGTACTTAATAATCTCTCGAGCATTCTGGAAGAAAGACACTATATATTAAATATTGGCGGCCCTGCCGTGTGTGCTGCTAATGAATTTCAACAATACGCCAACGATGCCTCCTGTTGTGCTTTCTTTCAGTTCGACCGATTTGAAAGAGTTGTGCCTTCGACATTGTGCGACTCCATTGTACTTTTAGGTAGATATTTAAGAATCAAGTTGTTGCTTCAAATTTGATTGCTTATACACTTCGCTTGTTGAGTTAACAGAGAGTGTGAGTAAAGAGAATTAAAATAAAAACAAAAACCAAAAAAAAAAAAAAAA